GGAAATGTAGTCTGCGCGCGTGTAAGCAACATCAACAATCCTCGCGCGCGCGCGCAGTCACGCCATCAAACAACGAAAATCAAACGGTATTTGAGAACAATGTCTCCTGATGATCGCAGTGATGCGTGAAACTCGGAGTAGAGACAAAAAAAACATTTTAAGTAAGAATAGTAATTATATATATATATATATATATATATATATATATATATATATATATATATATATATATATATATATATATATATATATATATATATATATATATATATATATATATATATATATATATATATAGCTTAAGTTTTTGGTTTACGAAACACAGGCAGTGCTCAATACCATATAGATAGAGCGTGATATAGTTTTTCGTTTTACCTCAAAAAACCACAACAGTCTGTGTCATGATGATTGCCGGATGATTCCTATACGGATGAAATACAACACTAGTCTGTTTCATGATGATTACCTGATGATTCCTATACGGATGAAACAGACTGTTGTGGTTTCCTGAGTTAAAAAGAAAAACTATATATATATATATATATATATATATATATATATATATATATATATATATATATATATATATATATATATATATATATATATATATATATACTTGTAATTGTTTGTGAGAAAGCGTTTGACGTCTATATAGCGGCTTTTATATCGTAAACCATTATAATTAGATGTCAACCAAAAACCTCGCAGGAGACAGGACTTTAAGGGGCAATTTTTCAATGTCGCGGATTTGCGATGAAAAGTGTTCAATACCTAAGACCTTTTTTGCGTTCCCAGTCTCAAAATTACTTTGTTTTAGCTTTATTTTGTAGTTTACACAGTTAGCAACACAGTTTTAAATGTATCTGGAGGTTTAGAAACACAAAATAACAGTTAAAGTGAACTTAAATATTGTCAATTTAAATACAATTATCATTGATTCTGTCAAAATTGACGCGATATTTATACAGCAATACAAGACGCTTGCTAAGCGTTTAGTCGAGCTAAGGGAGTGTTTTTGCTGAAACTTTGAAGCGGAGAGTTTGTATTTGTAAAATATTGTATTCAGCATATTCATGCACATCAAGATTTTATACGTCATACATTTTACATCTTAAAGGCTGATTTCTACTGTTGCGTTTTTCATACGTACGTATACGCACGTAAAACTTTAAATTCGTTTAAATGTTATATGAAATATAATAAATAAAGCAACAGAATTTAGTGTTCCGCAAGTTTTAGTATGCATTTGTTAACTTATTTGTAAAATATTTAAAAAATAGAAGGACTCAAAGTTTTACGTGCGTGTACGTGCGTACGAAAAACGCAACAGTAGAAATCAGCCTTTACTCGTAGTTAAAGAGTCCGAAGCGTGGTTCTCGAGTTCGAATCCCCTACGATACTGTTTTATTTTCAATTATAAAAAGTTTTTGAACTTCTTTTGAATCTGATTTTAAGGTTAGGTCTTAGGCTTAAGAGTTAGGGTTTAATTTTTTAAGAGAATATTTTTAACACCGTTAAGGCTGATTTCCACTGTTGCGTTTTTCGTACGCACGTATACACGCACGTAAAACTTTTTGTACGCACGTATACACACACGTAAAACGTGCGTACGAAAAACGCAACAGTGGAAATCAGCCTTTAGCTATAGCGTTAATTTCACAGATGCCTCCATATCTTATATTCATGCACCTATACCCTAAATAACGTCGAGCGTGGCAGTCACATTGTTCAAAACCTTCACAAAATTGTAATTTTGCCACGAGATTATCGAGATAACGTCGAGAGAACTGAGATAAACCCACCCACCCATTCATAACGTCGATTCGACGTTATGCGTGGCAATATGAATATGGACGTGACCCCTAAATAATAAACGAATAAACGAATAAACGACGCCCCATATGGTCGCTTGCGTGATTATTCCTAATTTGGTAATACGTCATTGCTTTCAACAATGCTTTCAACAATGCTTTCAACACCTTTTGTAGAACTTTAATTGTTTTTAAAAAACTTTAAACATTCAACAAATATGCTGTTACTTTCTTCGTGTTTTCCAGGGCGCCATTTTGGAAGATATATAGTCCTCGGGATCGAGAAGAGAAAATTCACAACATATAGCCTACTGAAAAGCATTACGAAGGATTCAAAAAAGGTAAGGCAAGGCACACAAGAACTAAATTAAATGTATATTTATATAGCTAACAAGAAGCGTTTAGTTGCTTTATATTGAGCGATATACGTTAATGTTGCTCGAGCTTAAATGAAGCTAATGCATGGCTGTGCGGTCTCCGTTTATAAATTAAAGGCTATAGTCCGGCTATATTAATGTTTGAAAGAATGCTTCCCATGTTTAACTGTTCTGCATATTTATATACGAATTTAAACGTCAACATAAGGCTATAGCTACATTTCGGAAAGCCATGTATGTATATCAGTGACATTTCGTTTACAGTTTGAAAAATTACGAACTCTAAAAGCCTTAATATTTCGTTCATAAACAGCAGTTGGATCAATTATCTGAGATATATATTAGGCCACTCCAAATTAGACTTTAGTTTCCCGTCCGGCCCTTATTTCAAATTACACGCGGGCGGGCGGCCATTTCCATTATCCATTATGGTGTCTGAAAGATGAAACACGGCCCATTATTTCATGAAATAGACACGCGTTTTAAATATCCATTCAGCCGCGTTTCTACGCAATATGTTTTAGAGTTTTTGTATGCAGAAATGAAAGCCAGGATATTAACCTTATCGGTTGTGACGTTCAAAAATCAAAACTTGTAACGGAAGTGTGTAGCTCAGCAGTTCGTAGTGAAAACGGAAAAAATTCACGCTCTTTGACAAAAGTTTCAAGAATTTTATTTCGATTTTTACGTGTTGTATCATAAATATGTATTTCTTGAACGATAGATTATTTGAAAACTGTGGTTTTTCGTAATTGTTTGTCACAAAAGTCAAATAATGGAAACAACTTCGCAATAATGGACAAATCATGCGGCAAGTTCTAGGAGACGCGGGCGGAGGACGGGAAACTAAAGTCTAATTTGGAGTGGCCTTATAAGCTGTATTTTTGTGGAGAGATGTTAAAATCAATTCATATATTAACCAAAGGGAGCCATGCAACAAAAAATAGAAATATCATTTCTCATATGCCCAAGGCTCCCCAATACTTAAAGACTCTAATTATTTGAATAAATAGCATTCTTTTCAACTGCAAATGAAGCGCAAGTAAACACTAGAATATGCTCAACCCGCACAGAATGAAAATACACCCAATTAATTTAATGCTTCGGGTATAATGTACAAAATGAATAAATTTTGATAAAAAATATACGTAAGGAATTTAGCGAATTTTGGAAAGAAATTTTTTGAGAAAAAAGCGGAAGTTTACAACAAACATAATATAGTATTTGTAAATTCAGAACGCTAATTGACTAACAGCCGTGTTGATATAACTTAATGTCAACACGGAAACGTCAGAAAATTTCTTTCTTTATATTTCTTTGTGCTATATTATAAAACAAATATAAAACTTTTTTCCGTATTGATATACACATTATATCAACTGTATATCAACATATACAGTTATATCAACTGTATATCAACACGGAAAATGTTTTATATTTGTTAAACAACAAATAATTTATTAAGAGGCAATTTTTTGCGATGAAAAGTGTTCAAAACCTAAAATCTTTTTGGCGCTCCTCTCAAGATTAGTTTGTTAGTTTAGCTTTATTCTCTAGTTTATAGAGTTAGCAACCTTTTTAAATGTATCTGCCGGTTGAGAAACATAAAATAATAGTTAAAAATTGTCAATTAAAATACAATTATCAATGATGCTTTTAAATTGACGCCATGCATATTTACAGCCATATAAGCCGGCAAAACTTACTGAACTTCAGACATCCAATTTTCCCTTTGGGATGTATCACTGATCTAAAATCTCTTCATTTTGGCATTTTTTACCGATAAAGCACTAAACATACTTTTTGCCCATTCGTCAAACTGTCCGTTCGGCAAAATATCCATTCGGCAAAATGTCCGTTTGGCAAAACGTCCGTTCGGCAAACGTCCGTCGGCAAAATGTCAGTTGGGCAAAATGTCTTTCGGCAAAGTGTTTTTCGGCAAAATGTCCGGCCACCTATAAACTGATATAGAGTAAAAACTACAAAGAAATAACAATAAGGGCTAATCAAGCTAAGTAGCACATTTAGACAAAGGGCACAAGGGAAAGACAAAATGTATATAATTACTCGCTGGGGGCACAGTTTGCCCCGGCAAGTATAGGTTTCGGCAGCATTCTTGGATCGGCAATCTCCAATCGTCGATAGCCACAAAATAGAATATTAATGAGCTGCCTAATAAAACCCAATTTATCCTTTTCAAAATGGCAGCCTGTCGTGGAGTGGGCAAAATGTTTCAAATAATTTCATTAAAATTTTCAACGAATTGTACCTGTTTTCTATGGATTTTGCATTGTGTCAAACTCTGGACATTCTTGCTAGTTTAGTTAAATCGTTGAATTCCCAGGCACGATAATAATATACTGAATCTGAATATAAACATAAAACGAGCCAAAGACAATTTCAAGGTAAAAGGTTTTAACTTAAACTACACAACGTAGTTTTAATAGATAACTACTTTATGAGAAGCATATTGGTGCCATATCAATATAACTGAATTTATCCAACAACAATCCCTAATAGTTAGCTGTGGAAACGTGAAAGCTGTAATGTGAAATATGATATTGTATTTCGTTCGATTCAGCATAAGAAATTGTACTTATGGATGTCAAATGTATTACTAAACAACCAACAGTATTCTAGCGATTTATCGCTTTTGAAAATCAAGCGAAATTGTATTGTTGACAAATCGCTCGCAGTACGTATTGCTGACAAATCACTCGCAGTACGTTTGTCCTTGTATTTGTAATGCCTAATGGCGCAATAAGGATAAAAATACCACCGTTCGAGTCAGCGTAAGAAATTGTACTTACGGATGTCAAATTATTACGAAACAACATATTCTAGCGATTTATGGCATTTTGTCTTTGAAAGCCACAAAATGTTTGGGGACGCTCGACCCCAAAACAGTCTTTTAACAATAATCCCATAATTTTCAAGTTAAAGCTTATTATTCGAAGGTTATTGATGTTATTCTTTTTAGTGATTTGGTTCATTCCTTAATTTGGGCACTTTTTAACACTCGTCCCCAGTTCACTCATCGACTTCGGAATGGCTAATTAGCTCAAAGTAGAGAGTTTTAAAATAATTTTTTGAAGTTAATTTGACTTAGAGATTTCAATTTACTATTAATGGATTCCAGATTATAATCTACCACAGTAGCGCAGATTAAACCGATCTATAGTACTACTATTATGTACCTCGGAAACATTTTGAAAGAAATGATCAAAGACAGCGAGTAAATTTGACGTGGAAGTCAAACATGAATATGGGAATGAAACAAAACTTTGTCGATATTTTAATGACAGTGTGTTAGCTGCCACCAGCAGCAATTTTTCTCCAAATTCTATTAATATTTATTTCTAGATCAACAAGATTTGCATTTAATAGCATGAAAAAGATGAATGTCATCTGCAAATATGTTAAATTTAAAAACGTCACAGCAGTTATGGAGGTCATTGGTGTATATAAGAGGAATAGAAGGGGACCTAGTACTGACCCTTGTGTAACACCATATTTAATTGGAGTTTCATCGGATGGACACTAGAAATTGATTCTAAAGGTTAAAGTGCACAATGCACATATACGCGTGATTTGACGTGACTTGAAAAACCCAATATTTTGAAAAATTCAAAAATAAATAGTTCTATACCCACCGTATTCATACGTATATTCATACAATACAATGTAATGCAATGCAACGCAACGCAACGCAATGCAATGCAATGCAATTGCAATTCGGTTTCTGTAATGTTTTGACGGCATTTAATCCCCGTTGAAAAGGTTATTTTGCACGATCATTGCGAAAGGAAGTGTATTCCATAGACGGATTTTGTGGGGGGTGCAGGGGGTGCTACCCCCCCCCCAATATTAGCTATAACCCCCCAAACAAAATGTCCACCCCTGCAAAAAAAATTTGAACCCCCCCCCAATATTCGGCATAATAAAAAATAATTAAATAGTCCACTCCAACGTGCAGAGTGTTGATGATACAAAATAAACGTAGGAGTACACTCAAATAGAAAAAGACGCAATACTCTGAAACTAATTGCTCCTCGCTTGCATTCACTGGTTTATTGGACCAATTGTAAAGTTTTGAAACTCTATTATCTCCCCTGAAGAATAGAGTTTGCAGTGCCTTGTCATGCAAATAGCTTGCTTGCAAAGAACGTTTGGAAATTTTACGAACATTAATTTTGGTTTTAATTCTTTTGATGAACTTCTCCAAAAGCGTTGTTGAGGTCAAGTAGTGTGATGACAAGTGAACGTTGTTTTATCCGAGCTTTGTTGATTATATTAACCATTTGCGCAGTATGTTCCATAGTACCAGACAGATTTGGGGTGAAGCCTTTTTGTATGTTATGTTCTATAAAGTTATTGGCGGTGAGAAAGGAGTACATTGCATTACGTAGACATGATGTAAATACTTTAATTTAAGCGGTATAGATTCGAGTGTGATCGGTCGGAAATTTGAGGGAATACTTGTGTTGCCTTTCTTATGAATATGTATAGTGCAAGCTCTTTTCCATTCACTCGGGATAGATCCTGTAGAAAGAAATATTAACTATTATTATTATTATTATTATTTATTAATTTATTATTATTTATTATTTATTTATTATTATTATTATTATTTATTAATAAGTAATATTAACTATTATTATTTTTATTATTATTTATTATTTTTAGTGATATTATTATTATAATAATAATAATAATAATAATAATAATAATAATAATAATAATGTGCTATGTGGTTTGTACCAACTAGAGAAAGCTGAAAATGGTATGAACACCAACCAAACGGAGTAATTGAATCAGATAATGTAAAGATTCTCTGGGATTTTAACATACAGTGCGATCATGTGATTGAATGTCGAAGACCTGATATTGTAGTGGTTTTAAAGAAGGAAAAGGAATGCAAGATCATCGACATCGCAGTCGAGAAGAAAAAAAGAAAGAGGAGCTAGAGAAAGCTTGGATTGACAAGAAAATGTATGGACAATATAACAGAGATTTAGGTAAAGAAGTGGATAGGGAGAAGACATGGTGGTGGCTGAAGAAAGGAGACTTGAAACCTGAGACTGAAGCACTTCTGTGGCTCCACAAGAACAAGCTCTAAGGACAAATTATGTAAAGTTTCACATAGATAGAACTGTTGAGTCTCCACTCTGTAGACTTTGTGGGGAAAAGGGAGAGCATAAAACACACTTGATAAGTGAATGCAAGAAACTAGCACAAAAAGAAGACATGACAATGTGGCTTGCATTGCACACTGGAAGCTATGTGGTTTGTACCAACTAGAGAAAGCTGAAAAATGGTATGAACACCAACCAAACGGAGTAATTGAATCAGATAATGTAAAGATTCTCTGGGATTTTAACATACAGTGCGATCATGTGATTGAATGTCGAAGACCTGATATTGTAGTGGTTTTAAAGAAGGAAAAGGAATGCAAGATCATCGACATCGCAGTCGAGAAGAAAAAGAGAAAGAGGAGCTAGAGAAAGCTTGGATTGACAAGAAAATGTATGGACAATATAACAGAGATTTAGGTAAAGAAGTGGATAGGGAGAAGACATGGTGGTGGCTGAAGAAAGGAGACTTGAAACCTGAGCTTGAAGCACTTCTTTGTGCTGCACAAGAACAAGCTCTAAGGACAAATTATGTAAAGTTTCACATAGATAGAACTGTTGAGTCTCCACTTTGTAGACTTTGTGGGGAAAAGGGAGAGCATAAAACACACTTGATAAGTGAATGCAAGAAGCTAGCACAAAAATAATACAAACGAAGACATGACAATGTGGCTTGCATTGTACACTGGAAGCTATGTGGTTTGTACCAACTAGAGAAAGCTGAAAAATGGTATGAACACCAACCAAATGGAGTAATTGAATCAGATAATGTAAAGATTCTCTGGGATTTTAACATACAGTGCGATCATGTGATTGAATGTCGAAGACCTGATATTGTAGTGGTTTTAAAGAAGGAAAAGGAATGCAAGATCATAGACATCGCAGTTCCAGGGGACTGTAGAATTGGTATAAAAGAAACAGAGAAGGTAGAAAAGTATGAGGAGTTGAAAAGGAAATTCGGAAAATATGGGCAATGAAAAAAGTAGAAGTCATTCCAATAGTAGTAGGTGCCTTAGGAGCAGTTAGTAATAAACTGGATAAGTGGATTGAGAAATTGGGAATACATATAAGAATAGAACTTCTACAAAAAACAGCATTGTTAGGGACGGCAAGAATACTGAGAAGAAGCTTGGAAAGCTAAAATCTTTAGGACCTGAGGCTACTGGTTGTAGCCAGCTTCCAAGGAAAAACATAGCCAGCATAAGAACAAAGCTGTGAAAAACATGTAATAATAATAATAATAATAATAATAATAATAATAATAATAATAATAATAATAATAATAATAATAATAATAATAATAATAATAATAATAATAATATTTTGTGAGGATTTCAATGATGTTTTTCGTTTTAAAGGGGGGGTAAATACTCACTGAGAATTTGTCATACTCGGAATCCGGTTGTACATCTTTCTACCTAAACAGCTGTTTCCTTGTTTTCTTTTTAAGGATCAAGTTAAACCGTTATGGCGTTGGATCATCGTGAAGTTTTTGATTTTTTTGAAAGACTTCATCTATCAGAGATAGTGATACTAATATTAATCATTATCTTTGCAATCCTGGGCAACTCTTTGGTTTTGGTTGCGACCTGGAGAGAAAGAAGTCTTCATGAACCAAATAAATATTTTGTTGCTTGTCTGGCTGTCGCTGATCTTTTGGTTGGAATGATTACGGTCCCACTTCGGTATCAACAACTTGTGAACACAGAAAATGGAGTAGTTACGTCTATTTATTTTTGCCGTTTTTACTTTTGGATGAATGTATTTTTGGAAACAGCATCTATTTATACACTGACGTTCATCAGTTTTGATCGATACCTGAAGATCAGCCAGCCGCTTCAGTATAAATCACGGATGACCGCTTCCACATTACTGAAAATAATTTTCATCATTTGGCTAATTGCAGCTACCGATGCGACTTTGGGCATGTTTCCCTATGCAGATAGTCCTGGTATTACTACTGGAGTTTATTGCATTTTGGTAAATAGAGTTTTTCATACTTTTGGCGCCATTAGCGCATTTTTTTTACCCACGACAGTCATGCTGGTTATGTACACTCTTATTTTTCTTGTCGCTCATAAACAGCAAAGAATGCTGCGAAATGGTGAACTGGGCCAAACTTCCAACAATATGAACCAGCGAAGTGCCTTGCTTCGAGATCTAAAAACGATCCGCATGTTGCTCGTTGTCGTGGGAGTGTTTATATTTTGCTGGGCTCCTTTGTTCGTATGGTTGATGATATATTATTATAATCCAAGTGTATTATATAATTTAAGTGACAGATATTTAACGATTCTTCAACGGCTAGTAACCATTCTCCCCTTACTCAACTCTATTTTCAATCCATTAATTTACGCTTGTCTTGACCAAAAGTACAAGGAAGCTTTCAAACATCTGTTTCAGCGAATGATGTGTCGGCCAAGCTTAAGAAGGAGAGAGCTACCACAGTAAAGTTACGATGAAGGCACAAATGATAAAACATGTGATCGAGCGTACTCTGCTTTGAAAATCACGTAAGCACGCTGAAAACTGCGACACTGTTGAAGCCCAGAACACTTTCAAAAACTAATATGTTTCACCTTTCAAAACTGATGATTTTAGTTCAGCCAATGGTAGTGCTCTATGGAACAACCTGCCCGACGATATCAAATCCTCTCCATTGTTCAGTCGCTTAAAAATAAACTCAATAAACTATTATACTGAGAAACTTAAATACTTACTGTAATGCATGCATGTTTTGGTGTTGATAGACCAAGGTCAAGGACTCGGAAAACATTTTGTTCTAAGACTAAGTGTACATGTCGTTCTTGCTTTTTAAATTGTTGTTTCCAAAAGTACGTTTTAGCGCATTTTAATTATGTACATATATATAATGATGTGTAATCTGTGAATTTGTTATATTAAATAGTGTTGTAATGTAGCATGTCAGGCAGGACTTAATTTAGGACTTTATTTTTCATGTTGTCTGTCCCTTGAATTGTTAAATTGTAAAATTAATTTAAAAAAAGGGGGAAATATATTTCAACCATTTTTTTCCTCGAATGTCTGCCTTGTGTTGGAATTTATTTTTGCGGAGTTTTAAAGGTGTTTTTCTTTGATTTCCACTTTCCACAACTTTTTTTTGTTCATTCTTGAATTTGCGCGCATTTTTTCCCACCCACCCTCGACGACCCCTCCCCATCACATCAAAAGTCATTTTTACGAGGTCGGGCCGACGTCCGTGGTTAAATATAATCTGGCTTTATGTCAAATCCAGAGTTTTAGGGGGGGGGGGCGGGGGGTGGCAGCCCCCTTGTTTGGAGTTCAGGGGGGGAGTGAAACCCCCTTGTTAAAAATTTCATGGCGATTTGAGGGGCTGACCTCAATATTTTTGCAGATTGCATATTCATAACCTGGAAAGTTCTTTTCAACTGTAGTGTTGAAATGATGCGGTAATGATGTTAGTAATCTGTACTTGATTACTATGATCATACTATTAGGTCATGTACATGGCTCCAGCATGAAATAGCTTCAGTATATCGGAATGTTTCTTTTGAAGTTAAGTCCTTTCTTCAAAAAGCACTAATTGAAGAACTACTAGAATCAAAAATAAATACTGAATCTTTTCATGTTTATCATGTTTAGCTCCCCTCAGTTATCATTTCAGTTCTACACCACTGGTCGTTGCCCTTGGGAGTTTGCCAAAGTTTGCCTAATTGTTTTTTTGTGCGAGTGTTAAAGGAGGGTCTAGATTGGGGGAGGGGGTCTGAAAATCAGTAAACAGTAAAAATTTTGGTATTTTAACGGTGACAATAAGTAACATTTTGGTATTTTAACGGTAAATCTTTGAAAAGTGTTCTGAAACGTTAAACAGTATTTTCTTCCTCTAAATTTTTAGTGTTTTCACGACTGACTGTAACCGAAATTGAGTGAATCACGACTCACGATATACCCCCATCAACACCCTCTTAAAGTTGTGCCGTTCCGGCAGTAGGAGGCCCAGTAGTTGGTGGTAATAGGCAAAAAATGAATAAAATAGTTTTAAAACTAAAAAAAATTTCATTGTTTTACCGTCAGGGGCATAGGAACCGGGGGAACAGGGACAACGTACCCCCCTCCCCAGAAATTGTGTTCAAAGTATCGATCGTTTTTTGTGATGAGGAATGCCCTTTTTGTACAAGCTAATGTTGCTGTAAATACTATATTAACATCGAAGGTGCCCTTTTTGTGAGGAAATTTCGATGTTTTTTTCAGAAAAATTTCGTCAAAAACGTTCATTGTACGTTGGAATTCGAAGATTTAGTATGACCGGGAAATTTTTGTCTCGTCCCCCTCCCCCTCGTCCGGACACCGAGGTCATTACCGGTTAGCACATTTTTCCATCCAGCAAACCGCCCTATCGATTTTCTAAAGTCGTTTTTTTGCCATTTTTTATTAATTCGGTTAGGGTTGCGGTTAGGGGTTAGAGTAGGGTTGTGTTTAGGTTACATAGCAAATTGATTTAACACCTCTTCTATCTTCCGAAAATGACGTCAGGTCAGTTTGCTGGATGGAAAATAGTGCTAACCGAGGTCACCGGAAGTCACATCCTAGTCACATGTCACATGCAAAATCCCAAGGGGTTTTGTCTGCGTTTACATTTAGAAGGAAATTTCCTTCCAGAAGGAAATTTGGGCCTTTGGAAGGAAATTTGGAAGGAAATAGCATTTGGAAGGAAATTGGGAGGAAATATTGTTATAAGGAGGGAAATGAGAAGGAAATCTATTTTATCTCATAATTTCTAAGAATAAGGCAATTTTCATACAATTTTGTGCAAAAGGAGACTCTGAAAATGCCATTTTCAACGATCTAGAGACTCCGTATTTTCAAAATTTTCCGCTCGGCGCCAACCATGGTGGCGCCTCGTGCGCCCCCCAAAGCGACATCTCACAGCAACCTCGTCCCCAGGGTCTTCCTCGTGGTGGCGCGTGAGCTGAGGAAGACCCTGGTAAAATACGATGAAATCTCTAAGATTCTTGGAGATTTATCGCATGCGCAGTAACGACAACGTTATGTTGCTGACTACAATTAGCGCTGGCGCTTACGATTTTCTTGCTTGAAAATATACATGTTTTGTTGATTGTTTATGGACTTATTCTCAAAGTTTTAACAACTTTTACGAAAAATACTTCAGATATAAGCTGTGAACACACATGTACACAAAACTGTGCAACATTCATCATCATATTGTATCAATTTGTCGGAGTATGGCGCTCAAATTTGTGACATTGTTTTGTTCGCTTTGGCAACCCTCGTATATTTTTATGCTGTTCGGCCTCAAATGCGACTGAATAAACACTGATAGTGTTGCCTGGAATATGAAACGATATTGAATGATTGTTCCGTATATCAAGGTACGTACTGTACATTTATACTGGATTTATTTTCACACGAGTTTCAAACTATTTCAGCTTTATGAACAATGAGATCACATCACTCACATACAGAAAGACTCCATATTTTCTCATCAAATCTGATTATCGTTACAAGTAACAGTAGAAATGCTTCAAAATTTATTCTGTATCTAAAGCAGGCCAGCATGTTTCATTTTCCTTGGTAGTCACCATTCCAAATAGGCCATTCCATTTAATAGCCCCCCCCCCCCTATTGTCTATTGAGGTCTGGATATCCTATATGAGGATTTTATAGAGGGGGTTTTTACCTTAAATCTTTGTGGAGGGTAGCTTAAGAGATTTCCTAAAAATTGGGTGTTTTAGTGATATCCAAAGGGGCAGGAACAATATCCTAAAGGGGTAGAAAGACATCCATAGGGGTTCCAAAATTGCATCCAATGGGGTTCCAAAATTATTAAAAGTATTATGAAGAGACCCCTCAATAGGGTGGGGAGGGGGGGGGGGCTATATTAGATGGAATGGCCCAGTGTGCTGCAACAACTTTTAAAATTTGTATATATGTTTTTAAGGCACAATATGTGATGGAGTTTGATATGATGATCAGCACAACCTGAAGGTCTTGACTGAACAACTTATCTGATATACTCCTACTTCCAATATTTTGTTGTATATTATCACCAGCTCAGATGTCAGTTGGATCACTTTGAATGAACATTGGAGTGGCACAATAAAGTGTCTGTATTAGGGAGGAGTCTATAAGGACTGAAGTAAAAGGCACACTTTTGGATATTAATCTGAATCATAGCAACTACATATACTGTAGGTTTCAAATTAGTTTGAACAATGAACAACTGAAAATAGAAATGTATTTAATTGGAAACACTTAAAGGAATTACAACATATTATATGATAGTCATATGTACATGATTATAGGTATATATTCATTAGTTTTACTAGCTGATATTTATGACTATCCTGGGACAACATTTTATTTTTCCCAAGAGATTTTACTTGCATGATAGTAATAAGTTTAATAGTAACAGAGAAGTGTGATGGATATGTGCAAGTAATTATCATTAGAAATACAAAGATTAAACTGTAATTTTGATCATTGTAAATATTATTAAAGAAACAAAATACAAAAGTCACACAAGGCTATTTAACATAATACAGTCATAATACTAGACTAGACTGGGTAAAGAGCTACTGAATAGAGGGATCATGAAAATCTTCTAAGATTACTACCATAGCTCTGTAACAGGAAAAGGTATAGTGAGTTAAGGTTTCTTCACCTTGATGAACAAAATTATATAGCATTAGAAAACTATAATGCCATCAACTAATTCCCATTTAAAAATTTTCATGTTGGTCACTGTGAAATATAATCTTGAGGCCATCTTAATGATTGTTTACTATCTGATTGATGACATGATTATATATATTTCCATAGAATTCAACTTGTTTTTTTCCCCAAGTTCATGTAAAATATGGTTCACCTGTTAAAATAATAAAATGTTTATTAGTTGTTTTGTAACAGAACAGTACCTGCTTTAAAGAAAATATAGGAAAGAGAAAATTGAAATAACAGTTGTACACTGTATATGGAAAACAGAATAAAATCTTTCTAAGCATTTCTACTACGTACTGTTATCATAATTTGATTAACTGATGAGATAATATGAAGTTTTTCTATATGTTAAAAACTGTGATTTCTGAAGAAGTCTTTCTGTATGTGTGAAATGAAGTCTTGCTGTATGTGTGAAACTGAGTTTATTAGAAAATGTGATTTCCGAGACTCTGAGAAAATGTGAAAGCAACGTGTGAAAAAAATCGAATAAATTCAGTATAAATGTACATTACATACCTTGATATACAGAACAATAAGTCAATATCATTTCATATTCCAGGCAACACTATCAGTGTTTATTCAGTTGCATTTGAGGCCGAACAGCATCTGATATATACGAGGGTTGCCAAAGCGAACAAAACAATGTCACAAATTTGAGCGCCATACTCCGACAAATTGATACAATATGATGATGAATGTTGCACAGTTTTTGTGTACATGTGTGTTCACAGCTTATATCTGAAGAATTTTTCGTAAAAGTTGTTAAAACTTTGAGAATAAATCCATAAACAATCAACAAAACATGCATATTTTCAAGCAAGAAAATCGTAAGCGCCAGCGCTAATTGTAGTCAGCAACATAACGTTGTCGTTACTGCGCATGCGATAAATCTCCAAGAATCTTGGAGATTTCATCGTATTTTACCAGGGTCTTCCTCAGCTCACGCGCCACCACGAGGAAGACCCTGGGGACGAGGTTGATCCATTGAACTATAAATAAACTGGAAGGCTAACTGCTATGATGAAGGCCTATGATTTGATGAAGCCAAAATAGTTTTTCTGAGTTATGAGCAGAAATACTTAACCCCAAACGTCGGGCTACATATCAAATTGAAGCTATTGAAAATTGCTATTTGGTGTGGAAATTTCAAGACTTCAGCGAAAAGAAAAATATTTAAAAAATACAAAAACAACTGCAAAACGGCAAATTATCGGTAATTATGTTTGTAGTTTTTCAATATTTCCCTTTTAGCTAAAGTCTTGAAATTTCTACAACAAATAGCGTTTTTCAATAGCTTCAATTTGATATATAGCCCAACGTTCAGTGTTGAGTATTTCTGCTCATAACTCAGAAAAACTAAAATGCACTGGCTTCAATTTCCCCCCCTGAGTTAGCCTTCCAGTTTATTTATAGTTCAATGGGTTGATCTCACAGATGTTTTTTTTCCAAAGTTGGCAACTATGTATCTAGCACACAACCCCAGAATCGCTATATTGAAATAACAACCAAACCTCGTACCCAGGGTATTATTTCTCAGACTCTACTTGGGGGGGGGGGCTGCTTAGCGTGGCAGAGGGGAGAGATGCAAGAAACAGCTATGGAATCTCTTTTCGCACCCACCGCAAGTAGCCCCAATTATTATGCTTTTTGTCCCCCGCGGGGGTGAATATGAGCTGATTTTAACCGGCAAAATACAAAGTTATCTGCTATAAATTAATATAATGTGTTTGAATACTAGAATTTGGATGTTAATTACCAGGTAAATCTGTCAATTTTGATAAAAATTTTGAAGGAAAAATGGAAGGATATTTAGAGATTTTTGGAAGGAAATTTTGTGGAAAAAAAGGAAATTTCGGGTTATGGAGAAGGAAATTATTTTTTTGGGAGTGGAAACACTGCCGTTTTGTGCAAGTTACAAGACACAAGCACTGAGGCACAGAATAGGAAGTTATACCAGAAGCGTAACTCTAGTCGTTTCCCTTATTGTTTGACGTCCACGAAAATTTTAACTCGCTCACGTCAGGCCACGCCATCCTGGCTAGTACAGCCGGAAGTTTTTATCAGGATTTGGTAGGTACAAAGTGCCGGTTGTACTAGCCAGGATGGCGTGATTGATGACGAATCGCTTGTAAAAACGCGGACAAATATTTGCTCGAGTTACGCTTCTGGTATAACTTCCTATTCTGTGACTGAGGACACAAGTTGAACATTTGATCAATAATCGCCTGATCAATAATGGACAAGGAAGACGACAAGAATCTGTTTTGGTTTATACATACAAATGTTCGTTTACAACATGGGCAAATGATATTTCACGTGTTGTATGTTTAATAGACCTGCGTATTTGTGAGTATATCTCTGTTTATATTAACCTGTATTTATTTGTAGTAGTTCTATGCTAAAAGTGCCCATCCCAATTCATTAATAAATATTTGTTAGTTAACATGTTAAAGCCTTTCCCTAAGCCAATTTTGTAGGATTGTCATATTTATTGTCTTTTACATGCAGATTTTGCCTCACAGTAGCGATGGAATTAGACAGTTCAATTTATTAAACATTTTAGGTACTACATACATTGTTTATTAATTGATACATTTAGACCATACATATCTTTTAATAATCGTGCTGTAATTATATGTGTGTATAAATTATATGGAGAGTTCTCAGCCTGCATGGGCTTAATTTTAGCCCAGTTAACCGAGCTGAATTGTTTCACAATTACATGAGTTAAAATTTCAGCTCAAACCAAGGATGAAATCTCAGCACCGGGCTGAACAGTCATGTCTCAAAACAGAGCTATTTTGCTTCTGTGAAGAATTTAAAATGTTGTTTACTGTAAATGATTGATTAAATGCTCACTGAATAAGTGCCGCACCTTTGCCGAAAATAATTTATTAATCCTTGTGTTCAAATTGCAGGCCTTAATTAAATAATTGGTCGGTCACAGACATTGTCTGACCCATTCGTCAAATTGTCCGACGTAGAGAAGAAACCACCTGAGGTTTATTCTTTGTCCGACTCGAGTGTGTTGGTGTCCGACCGAACAATAGCTTTGTATGACGCTTTCTCCACGCACGTAAATCAAAATGTATCCTAGTCCAGGACTAGAGGCTCATATGTTATAAATGGGGAACCAGAGAATTGTATAAAAAAGAACCGGAAATGTTGTTTTTAATAATGTAATCGAGCACATGGCGGTGAGCAGAATGGTGAAGTGAAAAACAAGCTTAAGTTGTTGAAGTTGTATTATTGGCAAGCAAGTTAATCTTGGCTTGGAAATAAGTATGAATGATACAAATTGTTTAATATTTTCACAACATTTAGTTCAAAATTAATATATTATGCTGATAATAATTTGCATCGTTCAGACTTATTTCCGAGCCAAACTGAACTGAAGGTCATCGGACATGATCATACATATGTCCGACTCAAATCATCGGACATTTTGTCAGATGGCCCTGTAAAAGATATTTTAAGGCCTGCAAATTGGCACCGTATTCCTTATTACCACCTTTATTCACTGTATATTCAATACATGTTTCCCCTGCTTTTGAAATTAGTGGCACTCCCAAGTAAGCGAAACTTTGGTATTACAGCTGGGGGGGGGGTGTGAGCTTGTTTTGCCCGACCGGTAGGGAGTGCCCGACGGACAGTCCCAAAAAATTTTTTTCCAAAAAAATAATTTCTCCCCCCCCCCTGTCGACAACTTTTTGAGGAAAAAAATTTTTCCTGACGATTACGTGTTAATTGCTTCCCTTGCCTTTTTTCCAATTTTTTTAATACAAAATTTTGATAATTTGCCCAAAAACACAAATTTTTCAGTAATATTTTAGTAAATTTATCAAAATTTTCTCTACAACCATTACTTTTCAATAAATTATGTAAAATTTTTTGCTCAATTGCATAGTTTTTGCCCGACAAGCATGTCGAACTTGCCCGACGAAACTACAATATTACAAGATTAGGGGGGTGTCTCACCCCCTAACCCCCCCCCCCCACTAGTTTCGGCCTTGCGGGTAGTACCAGATACGTCACTAACTTTTTGTCATAAAATAGTCCATTGTTTGTTTAGTATGTGGCACAAGGATCATTAGACAATATCCAGCAGAGTAGTTTACATCACAAGGAAGCTTTTGTTCTTTCCTGTAAATATCTGGCAAATTTTTACCAGATACTGAGTATTTTGCCTGATACCTGAGTATCCAGATCCAGCACATCCCTACTTACGACTACCTCTGTTTCTTCGCTAGGATTTATTATCATAGTAAGATTTGCAGAGGTTGCTGCTGCAGATCTTACTATGGTAATAATTTCTAGTGAGGTTTAAACCAAGGAATGTCAACAAGACAAGATAAAAGCTCTTGGCAAAGTATGAGAGATCTTGCAAAAGGACTCGGATATCGCTAACAGGCTGGATCAACATATTGGTTTATTGGGCTACACGAAGCTGCGTATCAGGGTCATGATAATATCTTACAACTGTTGCTTATCTATGGTGACAACGTGGGCGCATTGGCCAATGGGAATTATACGCCAATGGGAATTATACGCCAATGGGAATTATACGCCATTGCATATTGCTGCGTCCATGGATTATGTGAAATGCATTAAGCATTTAAGGTTTGTTTCTCTCATGAGACAGTCGATTAAGTTTCAGTAACTCAATTAATCCTCACAATTTTTTGGTAGAAATAGGTAAAGATAATGCTGCTGAAAATGAAATAAACAAAAGTCTTGACCAAAAGTACAAGGAAGCTTTCAAACATCTGTTTCAGTGAATGATGTGTCGGCCAAGGCCTGTCAAGACGGAGAGAGCCACCACAGTAGAGACCTTCAGATGAAGGACGGCATCCATTCAAATAAATTATTGTAAAGAAACCTTATTGTATATTATCAATCGTATGAATTTATTAAAATAATTATTAATTTAGTATTAATAATTCAGGAGGAAAACACAAAGAAAAATTATCAGCGTGTCGTATCTTTACATGTGAAAGAAAATCATGTTAATTTACATAAACTTTAGCTTTGATTTTCTCGTTTTAGACAAAGTTTATTTTAAAAATTACTTTGCAATGAACTCGTATAAGATGAGTCGTTGTTTAAGCCATTTAAAGCAGGGATGGATCCAGTATGATCTGGTAGGGGGGGGGGGGTGCTCTGGTGCCGACTGCCGAGTTGTGTTGGTCATGTGTGCCGCCCGCCCATTGACTACTGTATTTGAATTGTAATTGTTGTTCACAGTTCACATATCATGTTATTACTCAAATTACTTTATCTCATTTTGTCTTTTTTTGCTTTATCATGAAAAATAGCACCCCTCCCTGCACGGGTAGGGGGGTGCGTCATCGTGTTATTACTCAAATTACTGTATCTCATTTTGTCTTTTTTGCTTTATCATGAAAAGTAGCACCCCCTGCACCCCCTCTGGCCAGGGCTAGGGGGTGTGCACCCCCAATAAATCCATCCCTGATTTAAAGCACTTGTAGTCATGTTTTATCAGATATAAAACGCTCGGCTGCGCCTCGCCTTTTATATCTGAAAAAACCCTCCTAATGGTACTTGAAGAGATCAAAACAGAGGTTTTTTTATTGAGTGGAGTTCCACATTGGTACCAGGGCATTTTTAAACTATATAACTACTGGGGCATTTACCCCAGTAGGCCCTTTGCTTGCCCCAGTAGTGAAGCAAGATTTTCAGATGAGCTGGGTCCTTTTGATCATCAGTAAAAAGTCGTGATCTTGTTGACTGAAAGATGCATCTGGGGAGATGTGGGTTTGAAACACTCCAGTTAGGTAGCCAGCAAATGATCTACTTCCAGTTGGATATAGGAAGCAAAGAAACTAAAATATCCAACAAACAATGCTACGTTAACCGAAAAGAAAAGTTTAGTGTCTTAGTGTGCGGAATTTTTTTTGATGTAGAAATGAAAACCCCTTCTCCAACCCCCCCCCCCACTCGCCAACAATTTTGGGAAAATAAATATTAATCAGCCGGCAAAATGTCACTTACGCCCCCCTCATTCAAATAGGACTAGCACCGCCCCTGAGCACAGATAACTGTGTGGGAAAAAGGCCCGCATCGAGACTTTGCCCCAGTAGATGCAATTTCTTAAAAAATGCCCTGACTGGTACTGAACCAAACTAAACTCAAACATTATACTGAGAAACTTAATGCATATTTTGATGTTGATAGACCAAAGACCTTTGTTGTAAGTGTCGTTCTTGCTTTTTAAATTGTTTGAAAGTACATTTTAGCAAATTTTAATGATGTACATATATAATGTGAATTGTTAATTTAAATAATGTTGTAATGTAGCATGTCAGGCAGGACTTAATTTAGGACTTTATTTGCCCTGTTGCCTGTCCCTTCAATTGTTATAATTGTAAAATTAATTAAAAAAAGGGTGAAATATATTTCAACCAATTTTTTCCCCGAAAATCTGCTTGTGCTGAATTTATTTTTGTGGAGTTCTTTGATTTCCACTTTACACAACCTTTTCTCTTTTGTTTTAATTTGCGCGCATTTTTTCCCACCCACCCATTTTACACGAGGTTGGCGTGACGTCTCTGGTTAAATATAATCTGGCTTTGTGTCAGAGGTGCAGAAGAGGGGGGCCAGGCCCTCTAGTTTGGAGTTCGGGGGGGGGGGAGGGCTGAAACTCCCTTGTTAAAAATTTCATGGCGATTTGAGGGGCTGACCTCCTAATATTTTTGCAGATTGCATATTGATAACCTGGAAAGTTCTTTGCAACTGTAGTGTTGAAATGATGCGGTAATGATGTTAGTAATCTGTACTTGATTACTATGATCATACTATTAGGTCATGTATGTGGCTCCAACATGAAATATCGTATCTATATAAACAATAACAAAAACAGTCTCCAATACATGTAACAATTAACAAGAATAACTTTTGTTCTATTTGAGATCAGAATAAAAAATATCCGCTGTCAATGGAGGTTTTATTATTTAGTATTATTGATTTTGCAATTTCCCATTGATTCTTAACCTGCATTTTTACGTTTTCTAATTTTCTGGGCGATAGACCGTGGCTGATCGGGACCCCTAACTGTCGGGGGCCCTTAGTTTTTGAACTAACCCTACCCAATGTGCGTTACGCCAATGATTGGAACATCTTATATAACTTATAATTTCATCCATTATACGTACCGTTTAAAAATATCATTTTACGACAATTTTATGTTACTTCAAAGCATCTTCGGTTACATTCGTGCAAAGAATTACGTTAAAATCAATGTTTTCAACAAAGGCATACAAAAGTGTAGCTAGGGTCCTGTGTCTGTAGTATATTTCTTTCACGTTTTAATGCCACAATTCCCTAAAAAGATCGGTGACCCCCGTTTTTTAACTGATAATTTATTTAATGTATTTACATTTCATATCCGAAATTAAAAGAAAAATCATTTCTGGATCTTGAAAAAAAATCCTTTATCAATGCATGTTCACAAAGAAAGATATGTAAAGAAATGTGGAAAAGACATTTGTGGATCAGAATTGTACACAGTAGTTTCATTTTGCTCAAAACGCAATATGTTTTCAAAAATAATTGCAAGATAGGTTTACTAAAGCAAAATCCGCGCTAAAAACGTCAATAAATATCGGGCTGTTGCCGTTTTGCTGTTACTCGTATTATGAGCGTCAAGAAGGCGCCATATTGGGGTAAAGGTGGTATATTGTGATTGTCATATCTTCTTAACGAGTTCGGTGACCCCGACTTTTTTGTGTGATTTTACTTTAAGTATATCATAAACACCATGCCTGGGAAGTTTCAGCACATTCTCATTTCGGGAACAATTACTGCGAACTAAATTTTGATCACTGAGGCAAGACGAACGAAATCCAACACCACAGCTAGAAAGAGCGCGTGATAGAATGAGTAAAACTGCCACGGATTGGTTAATTGCTAAATGTTGTAAAATGAAAAAATATAGCCCTGTGAAGTTCGCAAATTTTTGTACATATTAATTTGTATTACGCGCGGTAAAAACAACCACTTTCGGCTCAAAAATGGTTATTTTTCCGCGGTATTAAATTGAAGTATATACAAATTTGCGAACTTCAAAGGGCTACTACTTTGCTCATTTTACAACAATTTGCAACCAAACTTTGCAATTATACTCATTTTGAGATGCTCTTTCCAGTTAATATGATAATGGCTCGTTCTTTTTGTCGAGATCAAAATTTCGTCTATAGATGGAACCATCCATTGAAGAATGACTAAGAATTACTAGAACCAAAAATAAATACGGAATCCTTTCATCTTTATCATGTTCAGCCCCCCTCAGTTATCATTTCAGACTTTCAGTTCCACATGACATAATAGTTTTACAGTAAAACTCAATAAAATTTCATTGTCTTACCGTCAGGGGCGCGGGAACCGGGGGCACAGGGGTAACGTCCCCCCCCCCCACCAGTGGCGTAGCAAACTCGATAATTGGGGGGGCACATATTCATATATTCGTGTTCTGCCTTATTAATTTCTTTTGAAATCAATTGTTTTTAAGGTCAGTGAACACGAATATATGAATATGTGCCCCCCCAATTATCGAGTTTGCTACGCCACTGCCCCCCACACACACACAAATGTGTTCATAGTGCCGTTTTTTGTGATGAAAAGTGCCCTTTTTGTACAAGCTAATGTTGCTGTAAATACTATGTTTTAGATGTTAAAACATCGAAGGCTCGAAGGTGCCATTTTTGCGAGGAAATTTCGATGTTTTTTTAAAAATTGTCAAAAACGTTAACGTTCATTGTACGTTGGAATTATGACCGGAAAATGTTTGTCTCGTCCCCCTCCCCTCGTACGCTCCCTGGTTACCGTGAAAATATTCTGTCACTCGACACTTAGCCTGCTCACAGGCTCTATGCCTGACAACGGCCTGCGAGCAGGCTACTCGACACTGAGAGGTGAAGGCTATTTCAGATACGGTAGAGCACCTAGTCCCCAGGCCTTTACCAGCGCGACCGCGAAATTCAATATGGCGCCAAGCTAAGGAGTGGAGTTTAAATGGAGTTTATATTCTATAATTTCTATTGTTGTTTTTTGATCTTTTTATTCTTTTTGGTTGGTAGAACTTATATTCTGAAATGCCAGGTATCTTATTCTTTATCTGATTAATCTGAAAAAAGATTTTATAACAGAATTTTTCTCAAACATAGTTTAAATTAATATCTATATGTTTCAGTGAATTATGCGAGGGGCATTTCACTCCAAAAAAGCGTACGGGATTTTCGGATTTTTAAAAATCCGCGGATTTTTTAGCGGATTTAGCGGATTTTTTCCGGATTTTTTAGCGGATTTTTGAAGAGAAAATTGCTGGATTTTCCGGATTTGTTCGGATTTTCCGGATTTGTTCGGATTTTTTCTGGATTTTTGAAAATCTGTTGGATTTTCCGGATTTGTTTGGATTTTCCGGATTTTTTCTGGACTTTTTTTAATTATAGAGTTATAGAGCTAGGTAACGTTTTGAACAAATAATCTTAAGTTGTACGACGTCAACGTTATGCCAGGACGTCAGGATCGAGCAGAGGACTGGGACTAGGACCACAGCCTTCAGAAACTAACGAAGGCTGGGCATGCAGTCATTTTGTTTAAAATTCAAACAAGTTCATTATTCTTTCAAAAACAGTAAAAGACAATGGTGAATAACTTTTGGTTTTGTAATTATATTTACAACATAACGTCATTGTAACAAGAACACATATTTAGTAGTAATAGGCTAAAAAAACTTAGCATATACTCGAGCGTATAAATGGAAATGTAGAGTGGTCCAATAATTACGAAATATAATGACAGCAAATCAGCGATCACGGTAAGCGTTTAGCTTTCGCTGTCCGCCATTTTGAACGTGGCAAAGAACCTTTACGAGTAAATTACACCAAGTACTTCATATATGTTTTGTGGATTTGCGGATTTTTTTGAGGATTTTGAAGGATTTCTGTGGATTTTTGAAGGATTTCTGTGTTTTTTAAAGGATTTTTCGGATTTTGATGGATTCAACGGATTTTGAGGATTTCATGGATTTTTTCTGGATTTTTTCCGGATTTTTTGACGAAGTGTACGGGATTTTTGGAGTGAATTGCCCCTCGGAATTATGCTTTAAAAGTAAAAAATAGATTGGCCAAGATAAGAAATTTTTGACACTTTCAACTTCAATTTTGAAAATTGTAATAACAGCCTAGTTTATATTCCATAATCCACAGAGCTTGAAAATCCATGCGGAATGTACAAATTATTGACTTTTCGAGTGAAGTTCTGTTTGAATTTTTCAGCTACTAAGTTATATATAGTTATCTTGCTATCGTCTCTATCTAGCCTGGCACAGACCGTTCAAGATTGCAGATTGCACTGTTTAATTAGCACCAACACTAACAGTCATGGTGGCAGGGATGGATCCAGCATGATCTGGTAGAAGGGGGGGGGTTGATCTGCCAGCTCTAATGCCAAGTTATGTTGGTCATGCATGCCACCCGCCCATCAACTTACAGGTCAAGTCTTGCTTGACTACTGTATTTGAATTGTAATTGTTGTTCACAGTTTGCTTCTTATCATGTTATCGATATCACTCAAATTACTGTATCTCATGTTGTCTCTAAAATATTTTTTTGCTTTATCATGAAAAATAGCACCCCCCTGGCCAGGGCTAGGGTGGTGACCCTCCCAGTAAATCCATCCCAACATACAGTTGGGTTTATAGGGGGAGGGGAGGGGGGTTGACAGAGGTAAACACCCTTGGCCAACAGGGGAGTGTAAAAATCGAAAGGCGGGGGGGGGGTGCACTACAAATTGAATTTACCATACATCTGAGCATTTGAGATATTGTATATAATTAGTATTACAATTATATTGCCGCCTTGTAACCTTAGTTATTTTGTGTGTTTTGCTTATACAAATGGAAATTTTAGGGGGGGGGGCTCAAGCCCCCCACTTCTGACGGCCTTGTGTTACATGTGACATTGCCAGCTGCCATTAATAGTTTGCAGAATTGTGAAAAATAAATCAATGCTGTAGATGGCAAATTTGTTTAAACAACATACACTGCAACAAATCATGATGCAGACAAGCACATCCTGTATATGAGGCTTGCTAAGATGTGTAACAAACATTCAACATCAAACAATTTAGTTATTGTCACATAAAAGAACACATAATAGAGTAAAACCTTATATGAATATCATATCTGTAAAGAATTCAGATATTCAAGTACTTCAGCAAGACATAAAAGAACACATAGTGGAGACAAACTTTATAATCAATCTCATGTTTTTCATTAACCAGGGATGGATCCAGCATGATCTGGTAGGGGAGAGTTGCTCTACTAGCTCTGCATGGTGCCGAGTTGTGTCGGTCATGTGTGCCGCCCACCCATCAACCTGTTTCACTACTGCAAAGTCTTGCTTGACTACTGTATTTGAATTGTAATTGTTGTTCACAGTTCGCTTATCATCATGTTATTACTCAAATTACTGTATCTTATTGTGCCTCTAATATTTTTTTGCTTTATCATGAAAAATAACACCCCCCCCCTCTGGCCAGGGCTAG